GCGACTGCGAAGGCGACCTGAGATGTGGTAACCAAGGGAAGCCTTTAGGATGTAGAGAGACGAGCAAGAACCTGCCATGGACGATCCAGATGGAAAGGGCATGGCTTCCAGAAGCTTCCACAGCAGCCCTTGGAATGCATCTGTGGCTGCTTCTGATTTCAGGGTTGGGGCAGGGCCAAGGCGTCTGCATTTGTCAGAGRCCCCTGGTGTCACTTGCCACTCGGGCCGCGGTTGAGACATACCAAGTTCCAACCTCTGTCTTCGGACGCTCCAGGTGGCCCTCCCCTCCCAGCCTGCCCACTGTGGACATATGCCACCAGGGTCTGCGTGTCTTGGTGACCGCCACAGAACAGAAACTCACTGGTTCTTTCTGTGGACCAAATGTTTGCATTCCCACCAATTTTATGCAAGCCCTGACCCCCAATGTGATCGTATTTGGGGGTGAGTAGAGCTATACGAGATCATGAAGGTGGGGGTCCCAGGGTGGGATTAATGTCCTTATAAGAAAAGAGACCAGAGAGCTTGTGCTCTCTCTCTCTATTGTGTGGGCACACAGCAAGGTGGCGGCCAACTAACTGCAGGCCAGGAAAAGAGTCCTCACCAGACGCCAGGTCCGTTAGCACCTTGATCTTGACTTTCCAGTCTCCAGAACTATGAGAGGTAAGTATCTGTTCAAGCCACCCAGGCTGTGGCATTTTGTTATAGCAGCCCAAGCTCAGATGGGTCCCAAGGGACTTAAAGCCACTGCCACTTATTTCTATCTCATGCTCTAGGCACACGGGACTCACTTGGTCTCAACAGACCACGAAAACCAACATCTAAGGCCTCGAGGCCTGGGTYGTGCCTTCAGATCTCTGGAAAAGAGTTATTTATAAATTTTCCAAAGACGTCACTGGTCAAAAACGAAACCAATTGCTTTAGCTGCCCTATATCCTCTCCCCACCCCAAAAGAAAGAAAGAAAGTAGTTTTCAGGAAACTTGCTGTTAGACAAAGTCTTAACTCTCACTCAGAATTCAGATATTGATTGCATGCCTTCCAAGCAGCCAGCAGCGTGCTGACCAGTTCCTCTTGGCCTTTGGTGAATCACGTGGGGACCTTGTCAGAATGTGGATTCGAATCTGCAGGGGGAGGTCGGAGACTCTACATTCCTAGCAAGCTCCCAGGTGATGCCCCCACACTGAGCAGCAGCAGCAGAGCTCAGACCAGGTGAGCATCACCTGTCTTCCAGTTGGAATCCCCCAGGCAGTTCTATATATATATTGTGGATGGACACTATACCTTTATTTTATTTATTAATTTTTATGTGGTGCCGAGGACCAAACCCAGCGCCTCACGCGTGCTAGGCATGTGCTCTTCCACTGAGCCACTTTAGGGAGTCCTTTAAAAGTGCAGATTCCTGGGCCTACACCAAACCCATCAGGTCAGACACTCTAGGGGTGGGGCCCAGGCATTTCAGATATTTCTACAAAGCCCTCGGGGTGACCTGCACACGTGGCCAGGACTGAGAACCACTCTCCAGGCACAGAGCAGGGAGCCCTCAAGGCTGGCAGATAACAAAGTTATTTTAGAAGATAACACAAGGCAGGGGTGATGGGAGCRTGTCTGGGGCACCTAAGCCGAAACACAAATGACAAGATCGAGACTTCCCACAGAGGTGACAGAAGGACAAGCCAGGAAAAGAGCACCTCAACCCCATGGAGTCTTTTGGGATGACCAGAGCAGCTCCTTGTTATGCTTTTAAGTGAAAGTTACTCCTCTCAGAAAACAAGAGGAGCCTCCAGGAGGCCGGGGGAAGGAGTCTGATCCCTGCCCAGAGGCCCTTACAAAGATGTGCACCAGCGTTTGCTGGACACCACCTGCAGGTGGGGGTTTGGACAGTCGGACACTCGGAATTCCCCTCCTCTCCTCTTCCCTAAAGAAACTCGTCTGGGAGAGGAGCAAGAGGAGCACCAGATGCCCTCGGGTGGGTGGAGATGGGTGCAAGGCAGAAGCCTCCAGAGGACCCAGGAGCTCCTGATGCCCTGGGGGAAACCTCTCAGCTATGCAGAAGGGAGGCAGCCAGCAAGCCACCCTCACCACAGCCTGAGACTCAGCACGGAGCCCTGGTACCTTCTTCACAGCAGCAGCCCCCGGCTGGGCGCCTCTGAGATCCAGTAACAAAGACTCAGCTGGGGGAGGTGGCTATGCTCTCTTCTCCAAAGGCACCGCCTGGGACCCAGGTCTCAGCCAGTCCCCCAGCCCCAGCAATTAGGGTGGCCACACATTCAAGCCAAGTCAACTGCAAGCCCTGGCTCAGGGCTCCTGCCCAGGCAGCCCAGCCTCAGGTGTACTTTCCCTGCATTTTAGAGTCTGAGAGGGTGTAAAGTTGGACCTCTGCTCACCACCTCTCCACACGGGAACAACTGAGTTCAGAGAGAGAGAGAGAGAGAAACTGGGTCATGGACACCTCTTAACCCTCCATCCCACACTCCAATTACTAAGTAATAATTTCCTTTGGGGGCTAAACCCAGTTTGGGGAAGTTCCTGTGGTTGCAATGGAGGCCAGCCTCGACTGTACCCACGATAGCACAGAACCCATCAGGACTGCTCCTCCACCTCTGAGCACCCAAAGTGCCACCCAGACTGCTGATTAGAGACCTCTGCAGTCCTTGGTCATCGCCCATGTTCTCCATGGGAGATCTTGTCAGCTCTACTTGGTCATAAGCCACTCCCTGGCAGGGGCTGCACCATGTTTCGGCTTRTATTCCCCAGCCCGTGCCACACGTGGGCTGGACACACCTCAAAGGTGGTGTTTGCTACAGATGTGAAATGGAAAGGGGCAGAGCTGCTCACGTGCAGGGGATGAGGAAGCTGGGGAGAGCCCGGGTGCTGGTGCAATGGAGTGGGCAAGGCATGGCTTCTGGAGCCAGATAACCCAGGGATGCTTCTGCTGATGGAGAGATCTTGGGAAGAGACAGCTTCTGAGCTTTGTGTTCCTGTCTTTGCAAAAACATGGTAAGGACTGAAGTACATAATACGTGGAAACGTACTTCATTCCATCATTCCACCAACGTTTACCGAGTCCTTTCTACGTCTCAGCCTCTACTCTGGAAGCAGTCAACGTGAAACATAGTACAGATGTTAATCATTGCTAATGATATTGCCCATCTCTCCCTCCGCAGGAGGGACAAGGCCGGGCCTTCCTGTAGAACAGGACAGACTGCTTCATAAGTCTGGGGAATACTTGCTGATTTAACAGCAGGCTGAAGACCTCAGGGCCACACTGGGGCATAGGAGAACTCCAGCCTTAGAAATAGGGTCCAGTCTAAGCCCACATGCTCGTATCAAAAAGTGACAAAAGTTACTGGGCAAGGGCACAGCTGGCCCAAAATGAGGGGCCAGTGAACTAGAACCCAGTCAAAACTTCCAGACATCTGCTGCCCTGACTTGGGTCAAGGGGCATTCATGACATGGTGAACAGGTGTAAGGCCAGGGACAGCCAATGTTGGGGCCCATCCTGTCACTTCAGGGACCTGGATTGCTACGATTGGCATCAATCACGGGGGGACATGTTAGGACTTTGGAGAAAAAATTAGGCTAGGGAAGTTTTGACTGGGTTCTAGTTCACTGGCACCCTGGAGTCTTCAGAAGATGTGCTGGGCGAGGTTAGGCACCAGGATGGACAGGACTGCTGGGGGGAAGTCCCAGCACTGCCCTGCAAGCGCTCATCTCCCTTTCACACCCCAGATCCTCTGCAGAGGACCCTGAGGGAAGTTAATGGTATAGAAAATAGCACGGTGTCTTGGAGGGAAGGCTCAGCCTTCACAAATCTGTGGGACCAACAAAACATCTCTGTCACACAGGCCTGGGTTCCAAAGCCACTAGCACCACTTAGGAGATTTGTGACTTGGAGCAACTGGGTCTCCTCCCTAGACCTTTTGTAACCTGGAAAATGGGGAGATGGCCTCACTGAGGGGGACCATAAGACACATGAAGACTGACATCCAAACCTTCTCCTTTGCCTGGCTATCCGTCTTCTTTTAATCCATGCAGAGACTTACCAGATGCTTCCAACGACCCCAGAGCAGGCAAATGTTCTGCCCATTCCACAGGTGAGAAAACAGACAGACAAGGAGATTATGTTTTGCCTGACGACTTGGTCAAAGAGCCACCGAGGATAAAATCCCCCAGTTCCCTCGGGGTTTTCAAACACATCACCCCACTCGAGCCTCCTCACAAAGACCCCAAGAATCGGCACCAGAGCTAATGCCTAGAACTGCCCCATGGGAGACCAGGGCAGCTTCCAGGTGCCTGGCTGCCTGCTCCTTTCTCCTCCTGAGAATCTTCTTCACTCCCATAAGTGAAGCCTGCCTGTGGCAGGAGCACAGACAAGATGTCATCATTGGGTCCCTACCTCCGCTGACTCACTAGAGAATTTTGAGGAGAAACACCAAAACCACTTCAAGGGAAAGCACAGTCTATCTCTTGGAGAGGAATGGTACCCTAGGGACATCCATCTCAGAAAAAGGGCCTCATGCCCCAAGCACCCTTCCTCCCCTGTGCCTTCCCCGGTGCTCTCTGACCCCGGTGGGCCATCCCTAAGCATCATCCACCAGAGGACCCAGATCTGCTGGCCCTAGGCCTCCATCAAGCACATGCAGTGAGTGGCCATAGGGGAAGAAAACAGACACCCAGACAACCAAGGGGACCCAGGGGATGGGGATACTTAGCCTTTAGGAGCACTGGGAGAACAACAAACAAACAAGYGAAACCCTGGAATGTGACCTTCTGAGTTGTTGGATAAAGAAACCACTTGTGTTGCTTAGCAGTGTGACAGATGGCTGTCTGCAGGTTATCTTCCAACACGGTGCAGGTACCCTTTCTTACTAGGGTTCATAAAACCAACTTTCCCAGCTCTGGCTGKAGCTGTCCACACAGGCACCACCATCCCCAGCAGGGCCAGAAGCCTGCGGGGCGTGGGGGAGGACCTGGGGGGCAGCAAGGAGAATCTACGTCTTACCCGGCTCTGTGCAGTTCTTCAACAACTGAGTCGCATTCACGGGAGCCATCAGCTTTCTGTTCCGCCAGGCGTCTGGTAGAGCACGTTTGCTAGCAGAAGCTGTTTTGTGCCCTGGATTGGAAAACAAGTCAGAGATAACATTAGGTCAATGTGATACCTGCATTCTCAAAATGACCTTATAGGTACATACCTAGCCATGTCAGCAACAGACCTGTTTGGCTATTTAGAGACACCTGTAGAGAGTGAGCTAATGGTTGGAGATATATCACCTGCTTACCCACAGTACTCTGCTTCCTGGGTCTAATTCATTGTTTCTAATCCCAGATAGACCAGCGAGTAATTTGACCTTGGACAAGACTGAGCTGATCTCAGCCCCTCATTGGTGCAACAAAGGGTTTAGTTAGTGACCACTGACTTCTTTTTCAGTAAACAGAGTCAGTAAGTTAGCAAGCCAGACAGTTGGTGGGGAATGGCCTAGGGATTCTCACAAAAATCACCTGGGGGTCTTGTTGAAATGCAGATTCTGATCCAGAATGGGGTGGAATTTGGGATTCTACACTAACAGGCTCCCAAGTGATGCTAATGGTCCAAAGGCCACACTAAGCCCATGGGAGAAGGCAAGGACGCCTGGGACCAAAGGCCGTTAAACTCCTGACCTAGCAAATAAAATGGTTCTCATTTTAAGACCTTTAAAGTATTCATTTACCTCTCCTGAGGTGCACTGTTTCAGCTGGGTAATAATACCTCTTCTAGAATGCTGACAGCTAAGAGCATCTGGGCATTTTTAAAATTATTATTTCTGGTGTGTAATTAAGGGGGGGGGAACCCCCACTTGCCCAATTTGCAAAGTACCGCATTAAAACATTCAAAACAAACTCTCTGGGTTTCTTTTGAAAGAGTCACTTTTTAATACTCTATCCCAAATCACAAAATTTGGGTTTTGTATGGCAGTGGTTTTTAAAAAAGAAAAAAAAAACTTTGATCAAGTTTCACTTGATTTTAACATGCTGCTGTAAACCTCTCTAAATGAATGGTCTTTAGACAAACGGTCTAACTTCTCAAGAAAGTACCATCCACTGGGGAGGTGGTGCAGGCCAGCAATCCCAGCAGCTCAGGAGGCTGAGGCAGGAGGATCACGAGTTCAAAGCCAGCCTCAGCAACTTGTCGAGGTCCTAAGCAACTTAGTGAGACCCCATCTCAAAATTAAAAAATAAAAAGGGCTTGGGATGTGGCTTAATTGGTTAAGTTCCCCTGGGCTCAACACCTGGTACAAAAACAAAAACAAAAACAAAACTGCTGTACCTCCATGTCTCAGTTGCAAAATCACCTACATTTCTATTTTTCTTTTACATTAAGAAACATTTAAAGGTTCACAGTATCCAACTTGCAACCAGAGCATCAGGACAACGAATGTGCTCTGAGGGTTCCACATGGACTCAAACCCCAAGGCATACGTTTTACCAAGTTTCTTCTTTCCCGGTTCCATCTGAAATTAGCAATAACATAAGTGACTCCCAATTCCCTGTCCTTCTTGGAGAATCACGGCCCCACCTACCAGCCCTCTCCTTCCGTGGGGACTGAGAGGAGTTAAGGGAAGCGATGCTGAAATGTGGCAGCAATCTCCCGCGGGGACAGACTGTCCCAATCCTTTTAGTGTTTGGGGAAGACGCATCAGGAAAACCAGGGAATTGCTTTGGACTAAGGCGAGGGCGAAGGGAGAGCTGAGACCCTGTGGCAGTTTCCCGTTCTGAGGCTAGGTTTTCAAGGGACGTGGAGAACAACCCTCGTCGCTCTGCAGAATAGCAAAGCGGACCGTTCAGTTTCACCCAACCCAGAGCCGGAGACTTCAGCCCTGGGTGCTGCCGCTGCGCTGCGCTGCCCATTCTCCCTGCGCTCCAGGGGCAGAGGCGGCACAGGATTCAATCTTAGTAACACACACCTACAGCCGCGTCCTGAGCCCCCGGGGGCCGCGCGCCGCTCGGCGGAACGAGCTCCACAGTTCAGAGCGTCCTCCTGGGTGCGCACTACTTGCCCCGCAGGGTGGGGGCTGGACAAACCCTTGGGACCAGCCTAAAGAAGAAGGAGCGGGAGCTGTCTCGAGGCTTCCCAGCTCAAGTCYCCCCGACTCCCCCACCCGAGGGAGCCGGCACCCGCACCTACCCAAGCTGCCGAAGAGGCCAGATGCACAGCACACCAGGGCCAGCACCGCGCACACGAAACCAACTTGCTGCGGCAGCATCTCTCGCCTCCTGCGAACTTTGCGCGCCCGGAGGGTCCCGCGGAGCGCCATCTCCGAGCACCTGGGCGCTGTCGCTGGGAGGGGATGGGGAGCTTCAGGGGTCAGAGTGCGGTATGTGGCCAAACAGCGCCGGGGCTGGAGCCAGCGATGCGCAGCTCAGAGGCGAGCGACTCTGGGCCAGAGCTTCATGGCCCGTGAGCGTAGCTGGCCCAGAGCGAGGGTCTCCCGAAGGAAGAGGAGAGGTGGGGGCACGGCACCGTCGGACCTCAGAGTCCCGCGCGTGGCTTGCACTCTCCGCACACCATTGCTCGGTGGCGAAAAGGCGACGCCGGCACGGTGGCGCTGGCGGCCTTAGCTTGTAGGCTTGGCGCAGTCSGGGAGCTGGAGCCACTACCTGCCCGCTCAGGCTCAGCGTGCTCTCCCGGCTGAGCCCGCCGGGAGCACTCAGTGCGCCCACGCGCTCCACGCYGCCGCGCCCACTGGCAGCATCCTCCTCCTCCAAGTTTAGCCGCTGCCGCCCCGATTGCCCGCCGGCGACGCTCCCCTACTTCCCGGCGAGCCGAGCCCCTGGGCGGCCAAGTGTGCGCAGCTGGTAGGCAGGCTGGACGCGCGGGACCTGCGACCCTCWCGGCGAGAAGCCTCCAATCGGCCCTCCCGGGGGCGAGCTCTGCCCGGGAACTTTCTCTCGGGTTCCTCAGCTGCCGGTGCTTGCGTCTGAGAGGCAGTGGCGCCTCCCGCTAGCTGCTTTCGCCTCCCCACTCCTCCCCTCCCGCCCGCCTCTCGCCCTCCCTCCCCAGCACGTGTACTCCTCCCCTAGGGCGCACTCGCCTGTGCGCTCCTCCCCCCCCCCCCCCCCGCGAGGCCCTACTACTGACCAAAGTAATCCCTTTCCTTGTCCCTTGTTCTCTCCTTCCTTCTCTATGGAACCTAAATTAGTCCTTTATTTATCTTCTGAAGCTGCTGCAGAAAGAAACAGATTAAGGCACCGTCAGGGAATCTCGGAACAAGCGTGTCTGCGGAGGGTTTGCTCTCATTCCGGCTCCTAAGACCCTCCGGAACTCTAGGCCAGTACCTGGAGCGGGGGATGCATCAGAAGATTAATTGCTCGTGCAGAGCTAACAAGCCGGCTGCACCAAGCCTACAGGCGCCCGCACCCTCAGGGACCAGCTCCTGCAGGGCTTTCGCTGGCCGCTGCTAGCCGGGGACCTGGGTGAGGAGGCGCCCCACCAACCAGCAAAACGCTGGAGAGTAGGCAGACAGAGAACCTGAGAACCTGGAGAGTCCTGCAGCTCAGCCATCCGGAGTTGAGCTTTTGATGTTCCAGAGCCTGATGGCTCCGCAAGACTTTCTGGTTTTGTTTTTCCTCCTCTTCTCAGATCAATCCTCTACTGTAAACAGCTTTAAAAATGGGTTAGGAGAGACATTTTCAGAAAAGCAGGGAGGTGTATAGTCCAGGTGCAGGCCTGGGAAAAGGACCTCTAGTTCTGACTTCTTCCTTGGCCAATTTATCCCGTGCAAATTTAGGGCCTGCCAGGAGTTAAGTCCACTTAAAATCCTTTTTGGAACAAGACCAACTCTGTTTAATTAAATAAATACATACCCATTGTGTGTGGGCCCTGTGCCAAGTGCCAGCCAGGGAACAAAGCAAGAAAAGGTGTAAGAAAGTCCAGTCCCTGCTTTCCAGGAACCCAAAGGGAGCCAGACCCCTAGATAAAACCCCCAGATGTTGTGAATCTAAAAGTCACCCTTCTGTGGATGTGGTGATTGGCTGGATACTTGTGAGATAGGAGGACTCAGTAGATCTACCCAGACCTACTCAGTCAGAATGTGCATTTTAAAGAAGATCCCTGGGGATTTGTGTGCATAATCAAGTGTGAGATGAGTTCCCTCTTTGAACCTGTCCCAATGCCAGGGATGGGCCACCACCTGCCAGGTTCCCTTTGGACTGAGTAAGCAAGGTTGTTCTATGCATGTTAGCCTGGCACAGGGCTGCAGGCCAGAGGTGCCCTGGAGGAGAGGGAGGGAGAARTTACACTAATTATTTTGAGCAGCTTCATCTCAATATCAACAAAGATACTGAAGGTCTGAACACAAAACTAATTGCAAAGGAAAACCTTGAGGACACAAAATGGAAAAGGCCAGGGTTGGCCTTGGGTGGAATGGCCCAGGGTTCTCTTCTGGTCTGTAGAAATGCCTCCACAATGAGGCCCACCCTCCAGTGTAGTGACTCTCCCAAGCCCAGCAGCACCTGAAGAGGCATCTTTTCATACCTTTGCAGAATTTTCTTTTCACTGACCAGAACTTCCAAGTATGCATTCATTAATAACAAATAGAAGACCAGAAAGCAGGTTATTTGGAAAGCTACTTGATAAGGGCCCTTGGCATCAAATTTAAACTAAAGGAAAAAGTTTGAGAACACACGGTCGTCCTATTTATAAGACAGAATTTTGGTCACATTGGTCAAAGCAATGCCAATGAGGAAAATGGAAAGTTGTTTCCAGGATTTCATATTTTCATAAAACTTGTGTCCATGGAGCTTACCTAAGACTGGTGAAAATAGAAAGGTTTTGAATCCACAATGGGTCACAGGAGTCCCTAGGTGAAAACACTTAGCCAACTCTTTAACAGAACGTTTCTTCTCTTTGACATTTTTCACCGGCTCTCAGTTAAGAGTTAGAACCCTTGGAGTAATTTCACATGCACAAATGGATTCCTTTTATTTGACAGTTTAAAAAGCAATTTGTTTGAAATTGTACTTTTTGCCTCATTTAAATAGTGCCCATTACCAAAGAGCCTCAGCTACAGCACTAATGACTCACCCTACGGATGAGAGAATTGGGTTTTATGTATTTTTGAGATTCAAAGAATTCAGGAGGCATTTTCTAAAACGGCAAAGTCATGGGCACAGATGGAAAGTGCATTCCTCAGTTCCTCTTGGGCCCTGACTTCAGAGCTGTTGGATGCAGAGTGTCTCTTTCTGCAACAGAGTGTTTTCTTCTGAGTTGACACTGTAAGAAAGAGCCAGTTTTAKCCATTTTGATAGGATGGTTCAATCCGTGGGGGACGGGTATGATGATTTTTTTTTCCCCCTTAAAAATCATTTTCTATGACATGATGAGCCTCGCTAATTAGTATCTTACTCAGATTTTTAATGTTTGCTAGAATGACCTTCTCCATAACTTGTCATTCCTCCCACTCTTAAGATGACTGTATCAATCCGTATTGACTAGGCGGCACTTCTCAGCTGAATGTGTCTCTGAATCCTCTAGAATTTTTGTTAAAACTCACACTGCTGAGCTCCACCCTAGAGTTTCTGCTTCAGTGAACTCACGGTAGTACCTGAGAATTTGCATTTCTAGCACATTCCCAAGTGAAGCTGGTCCAGGGACCACACTTTGAGAACCACTGGGCTAGGTCATGCTATGGTGACTGAAACAAAATAAAGCCACAAACATTTGTTTCTGGCTGGTGCTTCTGGTCTGTCAAAAGGAAGTATGTCTTAAGAAGGGTCACTCGGGTCCCTGGGGGCAGCCACAGTCTCAAACATTGTTACCTGCCACACCAGAAAGCAGAGAGACCTCCGCCATCTCTGGTGCTGGCCATCGAGTGCTCTGGTCAGCAGGCGGCATGCTCATCACTCCTGGGCCATGGCTAGTCACATGGCCTGAGGCAGTCGGTCCCAGAGTGTCATCCTTCCCCTGCTGCTGAGACCTGAACTCTGCAATGGGCAGCCCCAGTGATCCTGTGTCCAGACGGACCTTGCCTCCCTTCCTGGCTTTCTCAGACCTTCCCTGCCAGCCCTGTGCTTCTCCCTAGAGAGACCTCTGCCATCTCTGGTGCTGGCCATCGAGTGCTCTGGTCACTGAAGCTCTTCAATGACAGGTGGCCACCTCTGGGCAGAATCCCACACTCTCCTGCAGCAGCTGCACCCTTACCTATGACAGGGCCTGTGCTTGCTTTTCTCGGCCCAGCCCTGCTCAGCCTGTTGCAGGCACTCCCCTCCCTCCATCTCCTGGGCTCCATTCCGGRACCCCTTGTCTTCTCCCATCTTCCCAGGAGAGCCCGTCCATGCTCCCTCTGCTGCTGATTCCTGAGTCTGTATCTATAGCAGGAATCTTCTCACTGGTTCTGACCTTGTGTCCTCCCACTTCTTCCCTGTCCCCCAYCCAGCCCAACATGAACCAGGCCACTCCTATGTCACCACTGGGTCCTTTTCTCACCTGGACCATGGCAGCAGCCTTCTGAACCCCTTTCTGTAACCCCAGTCTCCCCATCACTTTCCCTTCTGCGTGCAGCAGCTTGAGTAAATTTCTGGACAAAGAAAAATCTGATTATGTCCCTTCCTTCAAACAAAGAAACAAACAAAATAGAAGCTCCCTGTTGCTCTCAAAATAGTCCTTCCTGTTCTTTAGCTTGACGTCTAAGACCATGGTGACCGGTACTTCCCACAGTGGCTGCACGTTAGGATCACCAGGGAGGCAGGTGACCATGAGGGCCTAGACATCAGTATTTCCTCCAAACTGCAGCCAGTTTGGAGACCCTTCCAGACCCTTCCATCACGCTTGCCCTGCCCTCCCCTAGTACCTGATCATCGTCTATGTGGTCACCACACACAGCCAAGCAGGAAGGAGGACCGAGTGCCCACTGTTGTAAATCCCACACCCAGATGCCACCCACATCACTTCTCCTAGCCCACTGGACCCCTGCCATAGGACCACACCCAACCAAGGAGAGCTGGGAGATGGGTAACCCGGCAGCGTGTCCCCAGTCTAGGTTTCATTACTGTGGAGGCAAAGGAAGATTAAGGTGAACAGCCACCAGCCTGCACCAGAGGTACAGATTGTGATTAGTGACAAGGTTCCCCAGGTAGTCAGTCACCAAGCCAAGCTCCGGGCCCCAGGTGCAGACCCCAGAGTGCCCTCCAACCACTGCTCCCAGGCTCTCGTGACCCTTGTCAGCCTGATAGTGGAAACAGGGCAAAATAGGAGGTCACAGGACAATAGCAAGGGCTCTTTGACATGAATTTTGGCTCCAAAAGTGCCCCTCTGTTTAGACCCTTGATGATTTTCTGCTCTTGGACTGAGCTCTTCTTACCCATACATGCTGTGACATGGCACAAAAAAACCGAGATTCCCCTTCGAGATGCTGCACCTTGAGGCCCAAGGAGGAGCAGCTTGGGTTTGTCTGCAAATGTGCTCTATTGTGTTTTCACGTTGCTTCATTTCTAAGGGCTCAGAAGTCACCCACATCACTCTGCTCAGGCCCCTTTGTGCCTCTGGAAAGGCCTTAAAGCATGGGTAGAAACGACCGTCATGCCCGGGAGATAAACAAGTGCCCGGCGAGAGAGGCACAGATGCTTTCATCCAAGGCAGGGGCAGTCTGTCCCCAGGGGAATCACCAAACATAGTGGGCACTGCAGGGACAGAGGCATGGCTTGCTCAGGCCCAGACCCTCTGTGCCTCTGACTTCCACCAGAAGCCAGTCCCATGTGGTGAGCATCTTTCAGGCRCCGTGTTTTGTGAGGAAACGGGTTTTAAGTTTTCAAAAGGAAAAGCATTTGCTTTGCCCACTTTGGAGTCTCCTGTGCACCCCAGCCCTGCTAAGTCCCCTTCTGGGGGTGGCCAAGGCTGGGAACATACGGATAGACAGAGCTCTGTGGACCGAAATGATGTATTTTTGAA